AAATCGGACAAGTTCTTTAATTTTATGTGCACTATATTTGTGCAAAGTATCACACTTTCAGGTTTAATTCTCTTGGAGGAGAAGTCTTTGGGAATTTTGATTTTTTAATTGGCCACTAGAGGGTCACGTGACTCTCTACCAACAAAACGCCTATTCCAAAATTTTCCTGGAGTGAAGTATTGTTGCCTGTATTAATTTCAGTGTCATACCCTTAAAGGAAAGAAAGTTATAGCCCCAAGAACTCCAAAAATGTTTTGTGCCTATCACGCCCCCACTCAATCTTTTGGCCGATTTTTACCACTTTTTTTCCCAGCGTGAATAAAGGATCTTACCTCACCTACCTAGGGTCCTCCACCTCCATGTAAACAGGCCCTTAGTTTAGGCTGACTTATCCCTAGCTAGACTCGAAAGTTAGGCCCCCCTCTGTAACAGCCAGGTTAAAAAGCAAAGTCTCAGTGGCTCCTTATAGTGTTTATCAGGGTGTTCTTACTGTCATTCATAGACATTTATCGACTCTAAGCTTGTAATACGAAGTTAACGAAGTTACATAATAGCCCCCTTTTTCTGTTTTAAAAAATCTGAAACTAGAAGACGGTGGTCAAACTCCGCTCTGCTTCGATCGCTCCGCTTCTTAACAAAGCCTGGCTAGCATGTATTCACATGATGAGCTTGAGAGCTGAAGACTATACTTATTCGCTAAATAGTCTATATTGCGCGTGAACTTATAACTATTTCCAAGAAAGAGTTGAAGTTAATCAAATTTAGTAATGCGTTTCCAACGATCACCATGAATTTATAAGAAAGTTTGCTTTAACTAATTTTCTCGCACTCAAACAAATGATAATCTCCTTGTCCTTAATTTAAAAGCTTTGTATTCTGACAGGATTACAACAGCTTATCTTGTGTGTTTTTCAGAAATTAACAGATTATTTGTACTGTGAACAGATTTAAATCAAGGCAAAATGAGCGATAGCATTTGCGCGGCAAACAAGTCGCTGAAACCTTTCGTAAAGGAAAAAGAAAACAGGAGTTTATCAATAAATCAAGTTCCCCAAGGACAAGAGCATGATCATGTTGATCCAGTTGACAAAATATTTTGCGCCCCCACTCATATGATCAACCCAAGAAACCAACACGCAATTTATGAAGCCCCAGACACTACACTTTATTGGTAAGAAATACATTAAGAATACAAGAATCATAAAAATACGAGAACACCACAGCCGGACACGTAAACCCCGAAAAACCAATTTTGGAAAAATAGGGACCGTGTACCCCCAACCAGTGCTGTGGTAATGCCTTTGGGGTTTTAAGGCCTGCTAGCTTATATAAATAGGTAAAGTAGTAAGTCAAATAAGTAAGTAGAAGTAACTTCTTAGCTTAGCTAGGCTAAAAGAAAAGAAAAAATCGTTTGCTCAGTGAGTTGTTGAGTCGGCAAGGCTCTGCTGACTCCAGAATAGCGCGACTTAAAACATCTCACGACTGTCGCCTTTTCAAAGTGCGCAAGCACTGATATCAAAGCGCTTTACGAGCTCGTTAAGTTGAATTTGTTTTTGTGCCTGCAGAACTGAATTATGTTTATTGAACCAATGTAAAGGTTTGAAAGCTATGATTCCGTGCCTTCACTCGGAAGATGGCCACTAACCTTTTTAATTTTTTTTTCTTCAGCCAAATTCAGATAAGGCAAAACAGTTCCCTGGAACTTCCAAAATCTTCATGCATTATAAGGTTATTGCTGGTTATGTTACATGTTAAGCTATAAAATCAGCGAAGTCAGTGGCATTAATTAAGAAGAATTCAGAAGTTCCAAGTTACGCTGTTACGTTCTCAGCCGAATTGATAAATTCTACATCTCTTCTAAAATATCTTGCCAATTGTAAAATAGCTTTCCCTCTTTACATCATGGTCCTCACATTTGCTACATATTGATTGTTCATCTAGCTCGAAACCAATACTGATTAGAACAAGAAAACTACGGATTTTTATTATTCCTTTTGGTCTAACAGCTTTTTAAGAATACCACTGAAACCTTACCCATAGGAATATTTATTTACCATCTTGCTTTCTAGTTCGAAAAATCCTAAACAATGATTGTCACTACGAGGAAGTAGTGCTGAAAATTCTTATTTCCATGGTGACACCATAAAGGGTTTGTTCAACAAACTCTAAGGTAACACTGAACCACAATTTCTTTATTTTCATAAATGCTGTGAAAGAGTTCAGTTCGTACAGACCGCGCGTTAAACCGTTATGATTCATCGGCCGAGAATGATATTACTATTTCTTCCTTAGAACATAGGCCCAAGTTCAAACTTGCTGCTGTTAAA